AAGTACCTGATCTTCTGATAATCGACACCCAGTTTGATCTCAGGACGCAGTCCATTCTCAAACTTGATGTACTTCGAACTCATAGCTCCATCAGTATTGTAATGAGGACAATACTTTACCAGTTCGTCAAACTTAACTGCATACTCTGCCACTATTGTGTTCCCCTGTTTCAACTCAATGAATTCAATCCCTTTCTTTCCACGAACATCTTCCAGAAAATACCTTTCCAGAAACTCTGCCCTGAATACTGTCCAATTAATGGGACCCTCACCAGCTTCCAATCTCTGGCGGGTGTTGTCCCACCAATCCTCAGCCTCACTTTCCAGCATATGGGTACCAAACTGTACCTTCTGATCCTCTGAGCATCCCATGACTCTGAAGATCTTCTCAATATCCTTCAGTCATTTATGTGCTACATCTGGATCATGTCCGCCTTCGAAATTAGGTGGCTTATTATTATGGAACTTCTCCAAGTTATGGAACTCTCCGTTTCCAGCACTCCGATTAATATTCTGACCAATGTTCTCCACTGCCTGCGCAACAGCTTTTAACGCAGTAGCCATCGCAACATCATTCCTACCAGCCATACTGTTCAATATCCATGAAAACACAAGTTAGAAGAAACACACGACTATAGACATTCTATAGCCAGACTTTACTACAACATTGGCCGGACGGACCAACCAGGCTCTGATACCAATGGTAACATCCCACTCTACCCCGTACGCGTATTATAGGAATATTAAAGAAAATACATCAGAGTTTTTAAAACATGTAGGATGTCACATAGACATTTTTCTCATTCAATGAAGTATCAAGTCACTTCATGCTTCCCACAATATTTCAACAAGGTCATTCAATAAAACAGCAGAATAAAATCAATGTTTAAACATAATCCCCACAACCAGAGGTTATACATCATTAATCCAACAGATAAAAGATACGTAACAATTAATCAAGAAATAAGGAAAATATAATGTAATCCTGTCATCCCATGTTACGTATCAGAGCGACTCCTAGGATTCGATCAAATAGCAACACACTCCAAGCACTACTCAGGTACCTGGTCATCTGCACTCCCCAAGTAGCACAGACGCAACAAACAGAAAAGGGGTGAGAACTACATTCAATAAATAAGCGGTGAAAAACACATGCTAAGGAGTAGTTACACACCACACATACAATCATACACACGCAACGCACATACATGTGCCATCTCAATCACTCGACATTAATAGTCCATAATCAAATACAAATATGCAATGTGACTCACTGACTCGACACAATGCATGTGGTACCAACGCAAATACATACGGTTCACCCTAGAACCCGATTCCCCTCGGAATCCTGATAAGTCGTATACGTTCCTCTGAACTACAACTTATCTCCACAACGACTTCAACATGAAGCCCGGATGAACTAGGCACCCATCATGGATTCCCACCTAGTCATCTCCACAAGACACATGACATGAAATGCATGACAACACCATTATGCAATATAACAATTTCAAGCATAATTCACGATCATCAATGATCCACACGAGCCATCCATTCACCGTAATCCTTTCGGGAATAACCATCATCACACCAGATCGTCCACACTGGACGGTCCTGGCCCACACATATCAATCACACCCCTAAGGGCAAACTCATAAATTTCCACATTCTCCCTAATTAAATTCATTACTAACCTTTCTTAGGTTCATTTTAGTCATATAATTCCTACCGATTAAACGGAATTGCGTTCCAAGCGAAATCTGGGCAGAAATCGTGAAAATTGGGGAAAAGTCATCCCAAGCTGGCCATACGCGTACCAACATGGTCCATACGCGTAATGTCTGATGTCATACGCGTATTAAACCTCCCTTACACGTATGACCCGAGGCTGTCACCTCCCAAAATCCCTCAGAGACACCCCTTACGCGTATGGATACCCCCATACGCGTACCATACACGTATCACCGAACTGCTGTCAAAAACTCATATTTCATCCCTTTCACGAATCTTCACTCAATACTCTTCATTTTACCACTCAACTCAACCCAGAATTCAGTTTTTTGTTAATCGTTTCTCTCTACCTCCACTATACTTCATCTATCCATTATTCTCCTAAGATTACTATCATGTAAGGTTCAATTTCGTTAACTCTCAAACCCTTATTTCCTAGATCTGTTACCTGTCAGAATCATACCACATCATCAATCGATTTCACACGAATTTCGTATTGCTCTCAGATTCGTTTACACATACATCACATAATAATTATTCAGCAACACAGTCATTTATAGAGAAAAGCATTATATTACGAAAATTAGATAAAAGAATAAGAAATACATGAATTCTATGAGAGAAAAGGACCTCTCACTACCCTCTCATGTTAATTCACCCATATTGAAATTCATTCTCCCCCCTTACCTTGGATTTGATCTCTTTCTTGACAACAATGGAGAAATTTGGTTCTTTTTTGCCCTAGCTCTCCTTTCTCTGCCTTTTTCTTTTTCACGTACACTAACTGTCTACTCCACTAACTCCCCCTAAACCCTCTTAATCAGATTTTTAATTCATTTAATTTAATTACTAATACTAATAATAATATTAATAATAACAATAATAATAACCATAATCCTATTAATATTATTATTAATAATAATTGAAATAATATTAATAATCATAATGCGCTTAATCTTGTTATTAAATTATCCCTTATTATAGGTCCACATTACCCCAACTAAGGTTAGCTCTCACTCTCGCTCCTAACCTCATACCCTTAATTAAGGACATCACAACAAAGTATAAAATGACTAAATAATTTAAATAGGGTGTTACAAGACGCCCATGGCGAGCACCGTCTACGGCAACGTGAGCTCGCAATCGCGAGCCCGAATGAATGTCCTCATCGCACAGTGTCCCTTGCTCCTCCTCAACACGCGAAGTTACTTGAAGTCATTGATCATCTGCCTATGAGCAATGACTTGGAGGCTCCTGTTCTGGATTAGGCATGTGGCTGACGAAAATTTTACCTCATACCCCTACCATTATCCATCTACCCCTACTTTTTTTATAATATTTCAATTCTAGCCCCTTTTACAAATTAAATAATTTTATTATTTAATATTTATTATTTTTCGATATGTATTTTTTCTTCACCAAATAACTTGGAATCAAATTTTCTGGTATGTATTTTTTCTTCACCAAATAACTTGCAATCAAATTTTTCGGTATGTATTTTTTCTTCACCAAACAATTTGCAATCAAATTTTTCGGCATGTATTTTTTCTTCATTGGTTAAATTACACACCGAAAAACTTGATTGCAAGTTATTTGGCAAAAAAAAATACATGCCGAAAAACTTGATTGCAAGTTATTTGATGAAGAAAAAATACATACCGAAAAACTTGATTGTAAGTTATTTGGTGAAGAAAATATATATATTGGAAAATTTGATTGCAAGTTATTTGTTGAAAAAAATACATACCAGAAAATAATAATATTAAATTATAAAATTATTTGATAAGTGAAAAGGATAGAGTTGGAATATTTTAAAAAATGTAAGGGTAGAAGGATAATGGTAGGGGTATGAAATAAAATTTTCGTGGCTGACTCACCGTCGAGCAAAGCCCAATCTAGTTTTACGTTGAGAACGGCCCAGAGTGCTGGCACAATCTGTTGGGGCCAGTGGAGAACACGTTCCTCACCCGAGGACACATCGCCAACTGAACACGCACACCTCGCAGAACCGTTTTGCCCTTCGTAACAGACAAGTTCATCCACTATCTGGGAAGTGCAGAACGATTGACCCAGGACGATGAGCACGAGTTGTTCATCCCTACTTTCACGTAGGAATCCTGGCAATCATCCGTTGTGGACTTGAACACTCAGCCTATAACAGTGACCATTAGTCAAACGCTGGGGGCTCACTATAAAAATCCTCCTCTGCAAGTATTTTATTCTTTAACCCTTTCTTACTTATCTCTTCACCCAAACTGACTTAAACATTGATCGTTTAAGACTATGGACGTATTACTGACCACTCGCCTATTCTAATCAATTGGTCGGATCAAAAATAGTGTCCAACATTTGACTGCAAATCTTTATCCACGATTTTTCTAAAAAAATATGTAATTTTATACAAATTACCCCAAACTACTATGAACTTTTTCACTTCTTCCCAAAAAAAAAAAAACACTGGCAATTTTTTTAAACTGAGCTACTAATCTCTCAAAACCATTATTTTTTTTTTACAGAAGCTGGTTAGAAAACAAAAAGAAATTCATTGTATTTTAAGGTGAAATATTGTTCGAAAGGTGACAACCTTCCGTGAGTGTATTTTTAAATTATTTTTTAAACATAAAATAGAGATATCTCACTTCCAACATCTTTGTTGATGAGATTTTAAGTGCATTAAAAGATACATCTATGAACACATGACATTTTAGTTTCAATGAGTGCATAGGCTAAACCAAAAGATACATCTATGAACACATGACATTTTAGTTTCAATGGATGCATCCTCAAGAGTGGAAAGAGCAACCCTCCAACTTTAAGATGACACCTAAACCAAATTTCATAAAATATTAAATATGTCCACCTAAAAGCAGTCATTAATGTTTAACCCAAAACTATGAAAAAAAAAATTCAATTGTCCCCTTTAAAATCATGACAGTGATTCAGTGAAGCTTACACGGGACAATAGGAACAAATTAAATTCCTTTTCTAGAAATACAAATAGAGCACAAGCACTTGCAAAGTCCACATCTCCCAGTTGTTATGATAGTTTATGTGATATTGAGGTACAAACTGAGTATAATACAGCAGTGATTTCTTCATGGAAAGCTTTCAAATCAGATAACAACCCCTGTGAATCTGGTTAGAATGGTTACAGATTTGACCATGTTTGCAAGCATCTATATAGCTAGCACTTTGCATTATCTGCCTTCGCAAAATAGGGCAGGGAAGGTAAGAAAATCATGATTAGCCTATGCACTTGTGCAACAAAATCTAAAGCAAATAAAACTGTGAATAGAGATAATCGCGAATCTTATAGTAATCTTCACAAAGAGGACCTTCAATAATAATTTGCTGAGTACCAGAACCAGCACCCTGTTTTAAAAAGTATACATATTGTTACAATGGATCAGAATCTTTTTAGGAAAACTGGATATAGTCACAGCTTAATTCGCAAAAATCGTTTTCCTATGAAAAATGTAAAATTCACAGATGTTCAGAAGATTAACTTACCTTCTGAGTTGCATCCCCAACCTTCCGAACAGTTACGTATTCACCGCAACGTAGAGCCCCGCCAGCAAACTCCACCTACAAAAATTATCATGTCATGGTACATACTTCTATAAAGTAGATAATATTCGGCGTAGCACTATTTTAGAGTCAAGTTCAGTTTCAAAAGACATGGTATCCAGCACTTGTCCCGATGAGGATTACAACTGTGGTCATCAGCATCTAACAATACATCAATTGTACCATGATTTGATACAAAACTGAACTCAAAAGATATGAATGCCTAGTCTGTATCTATTTTGCACATGAATCACACTTGAATCTTGTTTTATTATGATCAATCCGGATTCACTATGATGAAGCATGATTCATTCTAAAGAATCATAACCTAAACTGTGTAGCCAACCTCTTGTTTGTATAACCAGCCTATAGTTTTGCTGTGTCCCTTGATTTTACTTTCAAATGTCATTTTTATTAGTGGTGTGTCTTCCGATTCACAAAAAGATTTGATTCACAAAGCAAAAAATAGTTCTTCCCATTCATATATTTTATAACCATGACTACAACAACTACCAGCATGTCAATGCCTAGGGAAATGAAGTAGAAATCACTCCATTTACCAAGAAAAAATTGGTGGACAAAAGGAACCAATGAGTTAGTATTAAGCCTAAAACTGAAGAATTACCGAAACGCCTTTGGTTGAGAGAAACTGCTTGAAATCTGCCAATTTCAAATCACCAACTAGAACAGATTTATGTGGACAAGGTGTGCCAGAAATGGGGAGAAGCGAAAGCATATCATTCTCTGTCTTCCCTACTTCAGCATCAACCCAAGCTATTTCATATTCTCCCAGCTGCAGTTGAATTTATATTTATTATTATTCAACATGATAAGTTCCCTATCTAACGAGATAAAATTTGGTTGTTGTTATTGTTATTCAACATTATAAATGGCAGACAGTTATATAAAATGAAAAAGTTCATTCGTATACTATATACCTTTTTGAAGAGTACATTACTCATTAACTTCTCAGATAGTTGAACCTATAATCAGAAAAGCAAAGCATGATTAATTTTGATATATCGGACAATTTTTCAGAAAATGAACAAAATGATGTCATTGTACCTTATAAGCACATAAATCAGACGTTACATCAATAGTCTCGTCAATTTGAGGTGCATAAACATGAGGACATACATTCTTCAGGCAGTGCTGCTTCAGATGGTCTGTAGCTTCAGCAGATCCGTGCACCAAAACCTTCGGGAAAATAGTGAAATTCATCATTATGCATGATACTAAAAACAAAGAAAATGATACAATGAAAATATCATAAATCAGTTTAGCAAGACAAAACACACGGATTGTTCAGACTGGAGCTGCCAATACCAAAAATGCTATATCAAGATGGCTGCTATAACGAAGAACATGAATATTTATACTACACAATTATATATGAGAAAAATAATTAAAAAAATATTCCTCAAAATTAAATACTAGACGATTAATAGGAATGTGACTAGAAATGAATAAAAAAGTTGATAGAACTTATAGATAAGAATAGAAAACATTGCATATGTAAACAGAGATCAAAGTCGATGAGGGGGAAAAAGGTGCAAATTAGAGAAATACAAACATTGAAGTGTGAAGAAAAAACACAGCTCAAAAAAGATACAAGCAGACAAACAAAGACTTATCTGCAGAGTTATCAATAGTGTGCATGCATAATTGTCACAGCTTATGCTTTTCACAACACATAAACCCATAGTAATCAATAGCGGGAATATGAATACAGCTTTGTACTTTAAGTAAGACCTTCAATCTTGCCAATTTTTTTAATTACAGTGCCTTTAAAAATCATAACCCTAGTTAGCTAAATTCCTAAGTACTTGCCCCTACTGAAAAGTGTATCCAAGTGGTCAAAATATTCTTCGACTAAAATATTGCACTAGTGTTGTCGTATAGCGGCTATATGGTAGTGGAATTTTAACAGACTGCTATTGTTCTGCGATACACGATTTAGTACAAAGTGTTGTCAAAAATAGTGTTATCATACCACTGAAGAATCGTAGTGTGAAGAGGAATATTTTAACAAACTACTATTTTCCTCAATTCGTGGTTAACAGCACTTTTTTGAATATCAATTAAAAATCAAAATAAGTTATTTTCAAAATCATGTGGTTTTTAATGGTAGAAAAATATGGCAACCTATGAGTTTTGCTCTATTCCCCAAATACAAGTACTTCATAGAACATTTATGATGTACTCCTGTTAAGTGAGTTGATTCGTACCAGCTTAAGAGGAGCCACATGGGAGAGAATGTTCTTAATTGATCTTCCATCTGAACGACCTTCAAAATCCATGTAAACCAGCGAACACCTGACTTGGACCTGGACAACAACAAAGTTATTATATCTTAAGAACTGCAGTGGGCCTAACTTATAGAAGTAGATTAATCATATCTTAGCAAACACCATCGTAAGTTGATTTGGCACATTTAAGATTCATAGAAGTAAAGTAATAAATGTTTAAGTTATTATATCTTAAGTGTGGTTGAGCCTAACTCAATCTTACAAAACCGACTTGTAAGGTGAGAATTGCTCCCACTTATAAACATATATTGAGACCATATCCCTTTCAATGTGGGACTCTTCAACACACCCTCTCACGCCCAGAATTGGACATCTAGAGCGTGGAAATAAATAGTAGGTGGCCTGATAGCGGAAACAAGATGGCAGGTGGCCAACGGATTTTGGATAGTCTCTGATACCATCTTAAGAATTGTGGTTGGGCCTAACTCAACCTTACAAAACAGACTTATAAGACGAGGATTGCCCCCCACTTATAGACATATTGTTGAAATATTTCTTATTTAATACTAATGTTTCTTATTTAATACTATTTATTTTCTTGTTTAAGTGTCATTATATTACTCCTAAAATAAAGGAGTTAATTTTGTATTTTCTCTCCTATAAAAGGAGCCCTTTTTTCTTCATAATAATATATCAGAATTATCACTCATATGCTTTTCTACATGGTATCATGAGCTCTGTTAGGGCTAGGGTGATACTGTAGAGCTTTCCCTAATTAGTGGGCTCCGGGGAGGCCGTGGAGGCGACAGAGGCGGCGCCAACAACAATTTTGGCGGCGGCGCCAACGTCAATTCGGCGGCGGTGCCAACAATTCCGGCGGAGGAAGTGGATTTACCATGCCAGAAATGTCCAGGTTCATGACAAACAACAATCTTAACGGTGGGTTCGGTTATGGCAGAGGTGATCCCAACAACAACTTTTTTGGGTCCGGTTATTGCTACCCATTTGATGGTGGTTACAGTAACTCAAGAGGTGGAGGTCAAAATAACTTTCTTTAGATTAATGTTCAGAAACTAGATGGCTCAAACTACGCTGAATGGTCCCAAACTGTTCGACTTATTCTAGAAGGCAAAGTGAAGTTGGGTTTTCTTACAGGTGATGTTCCGGTGCCTGCAACAACACATCCTAATTACAGGTTCTGGAAATCTGAAAACTCTTCTATTATTGCTTGGCTTATTAATACTATGGAGGTAGGTATGAGAAAAACATACATGTATCTGCCTAGAGCAAAAGGTGTTTGGGATGTTGTAAAACTGTCTTACTCTGATATTAAAAGTTTCTCTCAAATTTATAATCTAATATCAAAGTTATGGAATTTAAAGCAGAATGACATGGATGTCACTACCTACTATAATGAATTGATGGCCCTTTGGCAAGAGTTGGATCAGTGCTATGATTATAACTAGAGGTGTGTTGAAGACACTGTTCAGTTTATTAAGACACGCAAGAGAACGACCGTGTCTTTATTTTTCTTATTGGTCTCGACAAGGAACTCGATGAAGTAAGAGGTAGAATTCTTAGAAATAATCCACTGCCAACTATCCGAGAAATCTTTTCAGAAATCAGAAGAGAAGAAGCTAGACAAAGAGTGATGATGGGAAAGTCAAACTCAGCAACTGATGGTTCTCCCCTTGTCACAAACAACTTCAATAAAGACAACAAGAAATATGGTAAGAAAGATGGTAAACCCTGGTGTGATCACTGCGAACGTTATTATCACACACATGAGACTTGCTGGAAAATTTCATGGAAGGCCTTCTAATTGAAAAAAGAAAGGTGAGGGTTGTGCACTTCAAGCAACTTCAGATCAAGAGCCACAATCTTCCCCATATGCATTTTCATTCACTAAGGAACAGCTAGATTAAATGCACAAACTCCTCGAGTCTCAAACACCTTCGTGCTCCATAGCCCAGAAAGGTAACTTCCCAAAATCAGTTCATCTTAGTGTAATTCCTAATCGTACATGGATCGTTGATTCTGGAGCCATCGATCATATGACCGGTGAATCCAGTTTATTTTCTTCATATAAACCATGTGCAGGAAATTTCAAAATTAAAATAGCTGATGGCTCTCTTTCAGTCATGGCAGAAAAAGGTTCTATTGTTTTTGACAAAGATAATTGTTTTTTCTCCTTATTGATAGAGCAACATGTGCTCTTAAATAGAATACAACGTACTTAGAAAAGGAAATCCCTAATAAATATTCATCATTGCCCTCAGTCAATTCTATAATTAAGGGTCAATAGTTTCTATAAATACATACACACCTAATCAAATCCTTCAAACCTATTTAAATATAAAATATACAGCTAATTAACACATGTACAGCTGGTTCTAACACTCCCCCTCAAGTTGGAGAGTGGATGTTACCCATTCCCAACTTGCCGATAATAGATTGAAATGTAGAACCACTTAATCCTTTTGTAAGAACATCTGCCAACTGATTTCCAGTTGATACAAATGGTATACATATTGTCCCACTATCCAATTTCTCCTTGATGAAATGTCTGTCTACTTCGACATGCTTCGTTCTATCATGTTGCACTGGATTATGTGCAATGTTTATTGCTGACTTGTTGTCACAATATAGTTTCATGGGTCCATTCCATTCAATCTTTAGGTCATGTAGAATTATTTTCAGCCATAGGAGTTCACAAATACCTAAAGCCATAGTTCGAAATTCTGCTTCTGCACTTGACCTCGCAACAACATTTTGTTTTTTGCTCCTCCAGCTCACTAAGTTTCCTCCAAGAAAAGTACAATATCCGGATGTGGATCTTCTGTCATCTACTGATCCAGCATAATCAGCATCTGTATAGGCTTCCAAAGTAATTCCTTGACCCTTTGTAAATAGAATTCATTTTCCAGGAGTGCCCTTCAAGTATTGCAAAATTCGGTAAACAGCTCTAAGATGATTTTCTTTGGGATTATGCATGAATTGGCTCACCACTCCCACTGCATAAGCTATGTCTGGCCTAGTGTGAGATAAATAGATTAACTTTCCAACTAACTTTTGATAGGATTCTCTGTCCACAGTTGCATCTTCAACAAATTCACTAAGTCTGTGATTTTGTTCAATTGGAGTTTCTACTGGTTTGCATCCCAATTTACCAGTTTCAGATAATAAATCCAGCACATACTTCTGTTGAGAGATGAAAATACCATGACGAGAGTGTGCCACCTCAAGGCCCAAAAAATATTTTAATTTGCCCAACTCTTTTACTTCAAACTCTTTTAGCAAACACACTTTTAGGCTATCCATTTCTGCTTGATGATTTCCTGTTACAATTATATCATCCACATAGACAATTAGTGCAGTAACTCCCCCTAAGGTTGAATGCTTAGTAAACAAAGTGTGATCTCCCTGACTTTGTTTATATCCCATATCTTTCATCACAGTGGTAAACCTACCAAACCAGGCCCTAGGGGACTGTTTCAGTCCATAAAGGGCTTTCCTTAGCTTACAAACTTTGCCTTTCTCAAAGTTAAACCCAAGTGGGACCTCCATGTAAATTTCCTCTTCAAGGTTGCCATGTAGGAAAGCATTCTTGACATCGAATTGCTGCATATTCCATCCATAGTTAGCTGCTAGAGATAACAAAATTCTGACAGTGCTCATTTTTGCGACGGGAGAGAAAGTCTCATGATAGTCAATCCCATATGTTTGTGTGTACCCCTTAGCTACTAGTCTTGCTTTATACCTTTCTAGTGTTCCATCGGACTTGTATTTAAGGGTGAATACCCATTTACAACCAACAAAATTTTTTTCATTAGGAAGCTCTACTAAATTCCAAGTTCCATTTTTCTCTAGTGCATCCATTTCGACTTTCATAGCTTCTCTCCACTCTTTGCTATCTAGTGCTTCGGTAACCGTTTTTGGGATAGAGGTAGTGTTTAAATGAGCAAGAAAACTTCTATGATTGTTGGACAAATTATCATAGAATATAAAGTGAGACAATGGATATCTTGGCCTTTTTGTACATGCTCTAACATCCTTCCTTATTGCAATTGGAAGATCTCTAGCATCCATGGATATATTTTGCTCCTCTAAATCAGTCCCATCAACTTCAGTTTCAGGGGGCACAATTTGCTCCTCTAAAACCGTCTCATCAATTACAGTTTCAGGAATTAGGTCAGATTCTGGGACTTGCACAGGTTGGATAATAGGTGCTGCCATTGTGTAAACTTGTAGTGGACGAGTAGCATTAGGAGTCTTGGGCATAAAAGAAAGGTCTTTGAACAAATCATCATTATCTTCGATGTATTCCTTCTCCACCTGAAGATAAGGTTTGGAAAAAAAGGATTCGGTTTCGACAAAAGTGACATCAATAGACACAAAATTCTTTTTTGTTGTAGGTTGATAACACTTGTAACCTTTTTGGGTAGGGGAGTAACCAAGAAATATGCATTTAATAGCTCAAGTTTTCCTCGATGTGGAGAATGAACATGGACAAATGACACACACCCAAAGATCCTAGGAATTAGGTTGTTTGAAGTTTTGAAATTTGGGTAGAATTTGGAAAGGAGCTGAATGGGGCTGTTATTCTGAAGAATTTGAGAGGGTAAGCGGTTAATCAAGTAGGTGGCAGTAAGAGCAGCCTCCCCCCAATATTGTTTTGGAACATTTGTGTGGAATAAAGATGCTCGGGTAACATTGAGAATATGCCCAATTTTTCTTTCAACCACCCCATTTTGTTGTGGGGTGTGGACACATGATGATTCATGAATAATACCATGTTCAATGAAAAAGGAAGACAATGTTTGATTAAAATAATCTTTGGCATTATCAGAACGAAACAGTTTGATGGTAGTCTCAAATTGGGTTTTTATCATTTGAAAAAACAATTTAAATATTTGAGTGACTTCACTTTTTTGTTTTAAGAGATACATCCATGACACTCTAGTACAATCATCAATAAAAATGACAAACCAACGGGCCCCAGATATATTTGGGACATTGGATGGCCCCCAAACATCACTATGGATTAAGGAAAAAGGAGTAGACATTCTTTTATTATT